CTAGAGACGTATATCTTTTTGGGCAATGTTGCACACTAGATGATTATTCTGGCTATTGCAGGATAAGGGAAGGAGAAGATTTAACCACAATAGAGTCAGGTTTTGTTTGTATTTTGTTTATATCTTTTTGTCAATGAAAGAAGATTCTTTGAGGTTAGTAGCTTGTTAATGGCCACTTATTTTGGGTTTTGAAAGATGCTCCGTAAAATAAAGTTATTGGCAAAGAAAGTAGACTATTCCGCTTATAATTGATATCATAGGTTATGATTTCCATCTTATCTGATTTTGTGGTTAGCTCTTGTATCATAATAAATACAATTGAGTAATTTAAGTTATGGGCGGTCATTGTTGTTGTATTCTATGTCGGTTGTTAACGTAGGCCTGGTATGGGGCGTGACAATTTATCTGAGTAGCACATGAAATGCTATTATGTTTCTAGGGGAGAGATTTCAACGGACATCAAAATGACAATTCAAATATAACAATAAATGCTACAAATTATTTTGGGCATTTGTTAGGTGACCATTTATTATTTCATATTTCAAAATTGAATGAAATGATTTATGTAATAACAACTAGAACAATAATATCAAGCCTTTATCCCAATATGTAGGGTCGGCTACGTGAATCCTTTTTCTCCATTATGCCCTGTTAAGAGTCAAATTCTCATTTAAATCTAATAAAGAAAGGTTATTTCTAAAATTTTCTAACCAAATCTTCTTAGGTCTACCTCTACCTTTTTTAACATAAGCCAAATCTAATGCATCTACTCTCCTAACCGTATCATCGGATGGCCGTCGTTTTATGTGACCAAATTATCTAAGGTGGCTCTCTCTAAGTTTATCTACCATTGGAGCTACTCTGATCTTTTCGCATATATGCTCGTTTTGTATCCTGTCTCTAAGAGTAAAGCCACTCATCCACCTAAGCATCCTCATTTCTATAACACTTAACTTAATATTATGCTTCTCTTTTAATGTCCAACATTTTGTGCCATAAAGCATTGCAAGTCTCGAATGAAATGACTTATGGATGCAATAAAATGATATGATGATATAAATACTTGATGAACTGAAATGATGATCTGAATATAATTTATATGCATGATATGGTTCTCAATGCACTTATGCATATGATTGACGGTTTAAGTATGAAATGTTATCAAATGAAAAAGAACATGATAAGAATAATAAAAACATTATAAATGACGTGATAAAGCACAACAATGATTGAAATACATTATTAATAACACTTTATTTATATTGATCAACTATTTACCCAGTTTGTCTTTTGTGATGAGTATGTGTTGGAACAGTTATTTCTATAGGCAATGCAATTGAATTTTATATAGGAGTAATAATAATCTGCCAGGCATATGTACCAATCAGGATTATTTCTGGTCAAGGGGAAGGGCATAATCGAGAGGTAGATTTTCAAATTGATTTGAGCATCATTTAGGATCAAGTACTATGATATGTTTTGATTTTCAAGTTTTTTTCGTAATAAGAGATGTATATATGGAAGTATTACTAGACTTGTATCTATTTAGGAAGTTATAGTAGAAATCCCTCTTTTAGAGGTTTAGCAAATCATTTTAATTTGATATAATCTGAGATGTATTTTATTGTATTGGAGTTGAGCTTGACATTTCAGGAGATCATACAATATACAACAACAACAACAAGCCTTTATCCCACTATGTGGGTCGGCTACTCCATACAATATATATGATGAGGTCATCGACAAGAGATTTCGGCGCGTCTATCAGAGACGGCATCGGAGATCGACGGTCATGATGGAGAGCCTCTACTACTGATTTTATTTGCACTAGCATTTTATGTATTATGCATTTATTTTTTTCAGTATTCCCATTTTACCCTTGAGGGTATTAGTTTGTTTTTGTAGCCCGGAGGGCATTTTAGACTTTTGTACTTGTGTCATGTGGAGTCTATTTAAATGGCTCTTGTTTCTTGTATGAGGATTATTGATTGATTAATAAAAAATTTCTATGATTTGTTCTGTTTGTGAGTTCAAGAAGCTCTTTGTGAGTAATTCGCATGAGATCTCTTTGTGAGTTCTCTTAGTTTTTGCATCCAAGAATCTTCCCCTCATCCTCAAACGCCATCATCTACCACAACACATTGGAAGCAGCCGGCCCCCTGTCCCCCTCCCCACACTAGCCGTCCCCTTGGGATCCCCACCCGTTGGCCATCCCAAAACCCCCACCGGCCGTCCACCTTGCCGCTGGCTTCCCTCCACCACCACCTCTTTCCCTCCTAACCTCGCTTGGAATTTGATTTTCAAATTTCAAATTATTTTCCAAATTTGGACGTTCTATTTTAAGAAAGTTTTGAATTTTGAATTCAATCTCACATTCATGAAATTGGATTCATGAAACAACAATTTCCTAGTCATCCTCCTAATTTGGAATCCTCCACCTCATCCCTAATTCTCCTCTCCCTTCCTTGATGCCGTCGGCCCCCTTCATTGGGCTCCCTCTTAATTGCACAATTAACCTCCACTCCTATTTTGAAATTCAACTTCTAATTTCAAAATAACCCCCTCCGAACTTATTTAAAACTGAAATTATTTCAGTTTTTAATTTCAAATCCTATTCCTCTAATCAAGCCGCCGGCCTCCTTGAGCCTCCCCATTGAGAAAGTTTTAACTCGCCTCCTTAATTTGGGGATTTCAAAATTAAATCCCAAGTTTTCCCTCCAAAACTCCCTAAACTGAAATCAATTTCAGTTTTCTAAAAAAACTTAACACCCTTTCTCATCCTAAACCTACCGCCGGCCTCCCTCTCCCTCAACATCCCGTCGGCCTCCCCTCTCCCCTTTGGAGAATTCTTCGCGGCGACCACCCATTCTCCCCTCAATGATGCATGGAGGAACCCGAGTGGAATTTCGGGTTTGAGTACGACAACCAAGGAAGAGTTGACATTCTCTAATCACCCTTCTTCGACGTAGGCTTTGACTTCGACGACACCGTCGACGAATATTTGGATCGGATTCTACCAACACTATTGGATTCCATTGACGACCACTTTTCCGTCTACATGTGGATCATTAAAGGTCATCCTGCCGCACCTCCTCCACCTCCAAGCTCTTTCCCCGTGGCGACGATCATGGGCTCTTCCCTCCTCGTGGCAACCTCACTACTAGCTTGGACGATCTTCCGCCGCTCAACCTAGTTTCGTAGGAAAGAGAGAAGAGGTCTCAAGGTGAACAGCTCCCTATTAATTGTTGGATTCAATTTGTTAGTTTTTAACTTTACTATTTTTCTTTATATTGCCTTAAATCGCCCGGCTATCTTCTTTTATTGTAATTTCTTTGCCTAAGCAAAGTAGAACTCTACGAATTTTTGTAACCGATTTGGACTTGAAGCATGAAATTATGAACGATTAAGCTTTAATTAACTTTCTTTTCTTAAATCATGTGTAACTCAACTCATGCATCACATCAATATACTTCTGAAATATTATTGTAGCAATTTAAACTCATGGTTTGATGGATCCATAGATGGTTTGGTCACATAAAATGGCGGCCTTCTGATGATCGATTAAAAGAATATATGTATTAGATTTGGCTTATGTCAAGAAAAGGCAAAGATAGACTTAAAAATGCTTGGTTAGAAAATATTAGAAATGACATTTCTTTATCAGATTTAAATAAGAATTTTGCTCTTAACAAAACATAATGGAGAAAAAAGGATTTATATAGCTGACCCCACATAGTGAGATAAAGACTTGATGTTGGTGTTGTTTGATGGGTACATAAAATATTACTTTTGTTAATGAAAATAAGTGATATTTGAATTGAAAGATAATGACAACCAAATGTTAATCTCAAAATTTTTCCCAACATCACATCATTTTGTGGTGTGGGGAGGCATTATAGCAGAATGTGATAGGAAGAATCAAGATTTATCATGTAAGGCTAAAGCTATCAAAGGTGCCACCAAAGAAGGTTAAAATGGATGAGATATTTGCAGCCAAAGATGGGAATCATCCAAGAGGATCTGAGCATTCAAAATCTACAAAAATGAAGGCTACCTTTGCATGAAAAGAAATCATATGGGAGCAATATTATAAGACTCGTTCTCTCCTATTTTCATGCATGCATGGTGAGGCCAATTTAAAAAATCCATTAATATGGATTAGTTATAAGTAGAGAATTAGGAGGATTTTAAATGCATGATAACTATAAGGGGAACAGTTAACATTTTGCTCCAAATTCAAGGAAAATGTCTCTCAAAATTATCCTTGTTGTAGGGTCCAATATTAATTCAAATTCCAAGTCATGTGTGTTTCCATAAATCCATCCCTCCCTCCCTCTATAAGCCAACATCCCTCTTCCCCTCTCCTTCCTCCATCTTATTTTCTCCCTCAACTAAATAAGTTGAGGAACAACGGGGAACTACTCATAGGAACTATTTCCAGGGAGATTCTTTAAGATGAATAAGAGTAGTTAGCAAAAGGAAAAAAAAATATGAGAAAGGTTCAAAGCTAAAGAGAAGAAAAATTATGGAGACAAAGACATCACTAAGGGGAAGTGCTAAATTTTTGTGAGCTTGTTTGCTACATTCAATTATCTCCTAAAGCATATCACTATCACGAGTTAATCCCTCAAATAATCAAACCCTAATTGGCTTAGGCCAATCACAATAAAAAGAAGAGTTAATTTTGACTTTCTTGCAATTGTCATAAATTCACATGCATATTTATAAAACATTCACCGCACCAGTCAACCACAGTATTCTAAGAATCAAGGTCCTCTATATAGCCTTGATATTAGAATGGTCAACCCACCCTACCCTTCTTGGACTGAGAGTTGTCACAAGCTTCTTCCCCTCAATTCAGCATCAAAACATGACAGATTAACTTGTTGACATACTAAATGAAAATATCATAAATTTATATTAGATAAGGCTACCATAAGTAAACAGGTGAGTAAACCATGAACTACATGCAAATACCAGATATTTATGTACTTTCACACCTGTAAAGATGGCCTGATCCTCTCTTGAATTAATTTCTTCTGACATGGCTGCAGATCCAGACGAATCTGATTGCATTGATCCAGATATTGAGTTAACTGGAGTTAATGGAGAACTATCGGACATCATTCCTGCCAGATAAAAGGGTTCTTTGTATTCCACGAGCGCAGGTACGTTCTGGGTAAAATTAACAAGAAAATTCAAAATATTATGAAATCCTATTGAAGAGAAGATCATAATCCAAAACTTGAAAAGTTGGCTCGATAAGAAATACTTCATCATGGAGTTAATAAACTAGGGGAAATAAAAAAACAAAGTTCTCTCTCTGTCTCTAAGATAAGCAGCATTTTTCTAAAACTAAAAGTTTTACATGAAGACCAACAAGTACATTTGATAGAAGATTTGCTCATGACATGAAACTATAGTATGAAATAACTTGGCATGAAAGAAACCAATTAGGTAACATATGGTGACCAATACGTTCTTGCACAAACATTGAAAACTCACATTAGAATGGTAGCCGTCAAATCTTAGAATTATGGGGTAACTTTAGCATAATCAATTTAAACTTGGCCAAAGTTAACAAAAAAATTTAAGCCAGCAACTATCTTGAAGCTTTTTACAGAAAAATCCATCACATTCTCTAGAACAACAACAAAATCATCAAGCTTTTATCCCAATACATGGGGTTGGTTACATGAATTTTTTTTCTCCATTGTGTTCGATTAAGAGTCAAATTCTCATTTAAATCTAATCAAGAAAGGTCATTCTAATATTTTATAACCAAGTCTTTTTAGGTCTGCCTCTACTTTTCTTAACATAGGATAAATCTAATACATATACTACCTAACCAGGTCATCGAAGGCCAACGTTTTAAGTGACCAAACCATCAAAAGAAACTCTCTCTAATCTTATATGCCACTAGAACTACTCCAACCTTTTCACGTCTATGCTCATTTTGTATCATGTCTCTAAGAGTAAAGCCACTCATCCACTTGAGCATCCTCATCTCTGCAACACTTAACTTAATATTATGCTTCTTTTTTAATGGCCAACATTCTACGCCATTAAGCATTGCAGGTCTAACAATCAACTTATAGAATTTTTACTTAAGTTTGAGTGGTACTTTTCTATCACATAACAAGCCCGATGCATTCCTCCACTTCATCCATCCAAATTGAATTCTACTAATAATAATGATGTAGGACTACAATGCTTGCAATGAATTTATTAAGAGCTTGCACAACTTATTGATTAGAGAATTAACAAATAGAACTATTAGCAAAAAAAATGAAGAATCAAAACGTAAGAGCGGTCACTTTCGTTTAGGCTAAGTTGTACATCAAGAGATTTGAATCATCAAAATATCGTAGGAAAATAACATCATGCAAAGTAGGTTTCAATGGAAATCCCTAATCTAACAATAAGATTAGTAAACAAATGAATGCGCTCAAATTTCTACGTTTACTAAGCTTAGCATAATCGGGCGAACACATCCTTCGTGACTACAATCAAATCACAACAAAGGGTTAGGCTTAAGAAATACGAGAGGAGGAAGAGTAGAAAACCTCCGTCAAGGATCGGCGGCAATCCTCCACTCGACGATCTCAAGTTGTTCATCAATTGCTTCAACCAAGGTGTCCAAGATGCGCTCTATCTAGTCCTCAACCGTGTGATCGATCCTCGGGTTGACGTCGAAGAAGGTTGAATGGAGAATGTGCACGAAACCGTGTTCGTCGTACGGAAGTCCGTAGTCAGTGTCGAGATCGGCCATTCATGGATACTAGTTGACGATTTCATCCAAAAGATTACTAGTAATCTTGAACTCCGTTGCAGAGAAAAAAGTTTCTCTTCTAATTGAAGTGAGGATGAAGACAAGGTGATGTAATACGATGCAAGAATTGCTTGTTAGAAATTAATAATTGTGAACTTGCGTTGCTAATTTTAAACAACTGCGTTCCAAGATGAATCATAAGAAGTTTAATGGAAGAACTAAGCAACGTCAGTCAATTACATTTAGAAGCGACTTGAAACAAACAAAATTAATTCAATAGATAAGTAATAAAGCAAATGACTCTTAACAAAAATCTGAGGCTTAAGATATAGATCCTTCACCTCGAAGTCCCTCACTTTCACTCTTGGCTTCACTCGGTTAGCGGAAGAGGATGGCGCACAAACTCAACAATGTCACTATTAGACAAGTAATGCCAAGGGGGCTAGCCGCCGGGGAGGAAGTCGGATTTGGAGAAGGTGTTCGGCCGTTGATGATCCACTAGTCAGTCGGAAGTTCCTCGTCGAGGATGTCCACAAGGTGGGGAAGAATCCAATTCAAGTAATCATCAACGGTGTGGTCGAAGCCAAATCCAACGTCAAAGAACGACGATCGGATGACATCAATGTCGCCTTAATGATCGTATGCAATGTCGTAATTACACTCTAGATCGGCCATTCATGATTATGAGATGTCCCTGCGGTGTGGATGTATTTGGCGGTAGGAGAATCTTCTCTTGGTGGAACTCGGACAAGCAATGATGGGAGGAGAAATGTGGAGGTGGTAATTTCGAGAGAGGAGGGCTTAGCCGTGAGCTAGGGGGAGAGGGAGGAATTTAGAAAACTGAAATTAATTTCAGCTTCAAGTGGTTTTGGAGGGAGATTAATTTGAAATTTCAAATTAATCCAATAATGATAAGGGGAGTTAATTGTGGAGATAATTAGGAGCTGATTTGGTGGAGCTTTTAATTTAATTTGCGGAGAGAGAAAAGCCCATTAAGGGGCCGGCCATATGGGGGGAAAAAATCTGGATCTACAAACCTTGAGCAACACCTCCAATAGAACTCACAAAGAGATCTACTAACGCCACTTCCTCAAGAACTCACAAAGAGATCTTGGAAAGTCACGAACTCACAAAGAGATCAAAAGAGAGAATTTCATTCATAAAAAACAAAACTCTTACAATACATGAGACCTTCTTTAAATAGGCCGAAATAGAAAAAAAGCTACATGACACAAATACCCTTTGGGCTACATAAGCGACTCAATACCTATAGGGATAAACTAGGAAATAAAATAAAATGCAATAATAAATATAACATAAATCAGAAATTAAGGCTCTGGATCGTAGTCGTCGATCTGTGTCTTCGACGATGATACACGTGTCGAAATCTGATGTCCTCATCACAAGGTGGCCGGCCAAGGAAGGAGAACAAGGTAAAGGCTATAAGTTCATATTTTGGGAAAAGAGGTGGAGGGAATTCAAATTTAACACTTCCTAATTAGCCTCTTGATTGAGACTAATTAAAGAAAAAGAGAAAAGGGGGAGAGGGGCGACGAGTAAGAGAGGAGGTTAGGGGTTTTAATTTAATTCCAAATAGGAGAGAGGATCTTTGGAAAGAAATTAAATAAGTATGGGCTTGGAGGAGTTTCGGCCAAGGAGGGATGAGGGGGATTTAAATTGTTTCCAATAGAGAAGGTGGATGTTTAGGAAACAATTTCAAATTTAAATCACCAAGGGGGGTCGACGGCTCATAGTGGGAGAAAATAACGAGGCATTTAATGCTTACTTAAAATAATAAATTAAGTTTGGAAAGAAGTATTTAATCCTCTCTTAATTTAAAATTTAAATATGAATCAAATTAGGAAGTTTCCTAAAATAGGATTTTGTAAATTAGGCAACTCTTTCAAATTCAAATTAATTTGAATTTGAGCATAAAGGGAGTTACCAAAATTATGAAACCTATTTTTGGAAGGTTTTGGGCCGGTGTAGGTGGGGAGGAGCTAAGGGTGGCCGGCGGTGAGGGAGTGGTCGTGGGTGAACATGGGGATTGGAGTCTCAGTGGCGGGTGACGGTGGGGGGTGTAGTGGTCGGCTGCTTAGGTGAGGGGTCCAGGGACATTTGTGGTCGGTGGCTAGGGGATGAGGGATAGAGGGTAATAAGATAATGACGAAGAACCACGAACCTGGCCGTCTCCAAGATTGGTGGGTGATGCGCTTCCCTCTCCAAGGGATCTCTCTCCAAACCTCTCTCGCTCTTGCAAGAAATCAAAACGCATTAAATTTTTTTATTCAATCATTCATTAATTTGCAAAGATAAACATAGGGGTTATAAATAGCCTCGTACATAAGACTCAAAAATAGAAAAGTTGACAACGCCCTTAGGGCTTACATATGACATCCCTTAATAAAATGGTACAACGGAAAACAAATACAAAAAGAGATCATAAATAAGAAAATACATGAAATAAATCAAAATACAATGACTCAATCGTGGCCGTAGATCGGCGGCCATGCCTCTGATAAACCTTCCACGATCTGATGTCCCCATCATTCTCCCGAGGTGGGAGAAAGCTTGACTCCGTCGAGTAAGTGTCTCTGGTGCTCTTGTAGATCTCTAATGCATCTGGGTCAATCTGCTAAAACTCCTCGTGATCCAGCCAAGTATCCTCTGACTCGGGCTTTCCTTTCCTCCTGATCAAGTATCTCCTTCGTCCACCTTCCCTTGTGTATATGATATCATCACTTAGGATCGCGTCCACCTTCTATGCCATGGGTGATTTAGAAATATTTGGTAGTGGTGGTAGGTTTGGGATCTCACATGATGGAATCACACAAGGCTGCTGTATGAGTGGATTTGAAGGCTTAAAATAAGGACCTTCATATGCAACTAAATCTTCTATGTTAAAAGAGGGATTGATATTGAAATCTGCAGGAAGATCTACTACATAAGCATTATCGTTAATTTTCTTAAGTATTTTGAATGGTCTAGCACTCTTAGCATGCAACTTCTTAACCGTTCTCTGCAGGAACCGTTCCAATGAATCCACACCATCACGGAGTCACCAAGCTCAAAAGTCTTAAAACGTTGTTTTAAATCCGCATATAGTTTGTATTCATTATTGCTCCTTTCAATTTGTTGTGCAATTTCTTTATGAAGTTCATGCAAATCGGATGCAAATGATGATGCAAATCTATACCTAGAACACATGGGTATCAGATCTAACGGCTGTCTAGGTTTGAACCCGTATACAACTTCAAAATAACTTAGGCCAGTGGTTCGGTTAACGGGATTATTATAAGCAAACTCAGCAGTAGGCAAAATGGAATCCCAATCTTTAATGTGCTCGCCAACCAAAAGACCGCAACAGATTACCCAAACTCCTATTAACTACCTAGGTCTGACC